GTGATATTGGTTATACGAGGAAAACAAAAAAAAAAACTATTAAAATGTCATTTATTAATTTGGGCCATTTTGTGCTTATTTTTTATTTGTCTATTAAATGCTAATTAATGTTGTGCTATTTATTGCTAATTATAACTATCAGTTGTATATATATGTCATTTCCTCTTTAAAAAGTTCTATTATTTGGAGTCCGATTACATCCGCAAAGACGATTGAGTTGGTATAACAGGGTTATTTCATAAAGGGGATTAGAGATCGAATATCATCAGATTCTTTCTCAGTCGGCTCAGTTGGTATAGCGAATATGATATTTTTAAAGGATGTCAGGGATCTTCCATACCTGATCTACCATGATTACTTAATGTGATTTATATCTCTTGTTTGATTTGCAAGAAACTGCACATGAGCAAGTTTATCCAGTGTGTACTTGAAGGATAGTGGATATATATTACAAATATATTTTTATTGTAGATTTTTTTTTTATCATGGTATATCAATACATGAAATTTTGTTAGTAATAAATTTTTGACATTGGAAAGGAAGTTTTGTTATGAATAAATATCAATTTATGTGAATGTCCACTGCAAAAATGTAATTCTCCACTACTCTATTTGTTGTACTTCATTATCTCAAATTCTTAATGTCATGTCTTACGGCTCTACCTTTTGTACGTCTCTATATAATACTATAAAAGCAGACATAAAAATTCATATTGTATACACTTGGTTACATTAGAAGAAAAAAGAATAACTCTCCTCTCTTGCTTTTTGCATTTTCCATGTTTGTTACTTTTAGATTCATTTTACAACAAAGTTTTATTATTTGGTGTCCTAACATATATACATTTCTCTTTTAAAGCAAAATATTCATACATTTATATTATTTCTCGCGATATACACTTGTAACACACGTATCCAAAGCTAGTAATAATAACCAAATATCAAAGGATCAAGGAAATACTAGCTAAATTGCATTATGTACAGAGAATGTCTTCCATTGTTAGCAGCAGCTCTAGTGGTGCTTACATTTTTAAAAGGATCAATGATGACATTCAAATCCAATCAATTTCTAGAAAAAACTGACCTTTTTTCCAGAATTCTAACCTCACAATCAACTATGCACAATAAAGAATGTAAAATATGAACAATTTTCTTGAAAGAAAACAACTTTGAGACCCAGAAATTCATAACATTTCCTAGTGTCGTTAGAGATTGAAATCAAACAAGATCTGAAGGATCTAATTTTCTTGTAGGGTTTCCTGAGGGCAATCTGTAAATATCATCAAAAGGAAGGTTGAAGTCTCCAACCGAATCGTCCATGAAGAAGGTATTGGCCAACCTATTAGAATTCCTCAAGTCAACGTGTGTGTGCTCGAGCTCTTGCTCTTGCTCATCTAGACTTCTGTCAGAGAAATTATCATAATAATCATGAGGGTTGCTGTTGAAATTCGGAGGTTCAAGGAAGCTTGTCTGAGGATTTGTGACTTGTGGTCGACTTCTAGTCCACCACTGGCTCCTCATAGATTGTGCCATGCTACTTGAATCATCCTGATGTAGGATGCTCTCCCTCAAAACAGGAGCTGATGTGGTGGCTCCGAGATGACTTTGTGCTCGGTCCTCAAATAAGTGACCCCAGTTGTCGTCAACTGTATCCTTGCTTTGCACAAAATGAGGTGGCATCCAAGGATCTTTAA